AAAAAAATTTAACTTAAATTATTTCTTTTATCAATACATATCATAAGGTATAATGTAACCTATTCAAAACTATCTGTTTTATTTAAAGTTTAAACTTTAAATATATAAAACAAATAAAAATTTAATATTCAAACTTTAAAACCCTTAAACTGTAATACAAAAACATGAGAATTTCACCATTTTCAGGGCTCTTAAATGTTACCTCCAACTCTGAAAATTCTTTCACTTTCAATGGAAGATGCTGGGGACTTAGATATTTCGTACCTATTTTGCTCAAATTAGGAAAAAATTCTTTTGAACTTCTCCACCCAAAAAATGGGTCGCTATGTCTTTGTATAAGAGGTAAATGTAAATATTTTTCTAATTCTTGATCGAAACGTTTGTTCACTTGTTTCGTTTTTTCTTCCTTTTTAAAAACATGCTCTTATTCATTCTTTTGTTCACCAGAAGCTAATTCATCAAATAAATTAGAAAAACTCGGAGATTATCCTCCATCTTGATCATCTCCAGAAGTAGAAGCTTCAGAATTTAATTCTTCTTGAGATTTTGAATTATCATCATCATCTAAGCTATCGATGGTCCATCTTTTTATTTTCTCTACCATCTTTTTTTTTTGAAATCTAATTTTGAATCTTGGATCTAATAAGGATGACAACCATAAAGACTTGTTTTCTATATATGCTGAAAATCTTTTTATATTGAATTTTCTAGTCCTTCTATTGTGGTATTAATGCCACTAAAGGAACTACTGCTCTTTACTTTTGATAATAAGAATAATTTCAGAGTCTCTATTGTGTGAATTATTGAAGATGAGGTGGTTTCTTGGTTGCTGGTTTCCACAGTAATTTCTTCGAATGGTTTTAAAAGTAGAACAATTTTTTCAAGAGACCACTGATATGTGCTCAACGTGGGAATTTTATTATGTATAGCATATCTGCACAAGGGCTTTTTGCTGTTCCAAGTTTCTTTGCAACAGGTAGTATGTAGAATTCTAGCAAGTTAATTTCTTGAATTAATTTGTGTTTCTGCAAACCTAACTTGTCTCGCAAATCTTCCAATTTGCATACAGCTACAGCAGTATAATTAAAATGCGTGACAATATTTCTATTAATTGTGATTATAATTGTCACATCTTGTTGAAAAATTATGCATTCGTTTAGTGTCAGCTGCAGTGTATGTGTAAAGCATGATAATACCTGTAAGTTGCAATTCCTGATTCCAGCTACCATATTTGCTCCGGAATCTCTCAGTATTAAGAATATCTTATGACTTTTGTCAACTTATACCATTCAAGAACTATGTTTATCTGTTCACTGATTTGTGTAGCTATGTGGGAACCTTCAAAGGAAACAATTCGCAAAACAGCTCTTGCTGAAAATCATCCTTCAACTAGCGGAATTGTTACATTTAAAAAAAGAAAATTATTTGTAGTTGCTGTCCAATTATCAGCAGTTAAAGAAATACTATATATTTTGAATCATCAATAGCTTTCTGAATTTTTTACTGAACTTTTCGAAATATATCACGGATGTTATTTTCAGATATACATTTTCTGCTGGGAATATTGTAATTAGAAACAAGTTTTTTAGTAATCTTTGAAATCCTAAATCTGATACAACAAAGTATGGCTGTATATCTATGCTTATCATTTATCCAATCAAATAATGAACTTCTTTGAATTGTTGATATTCCATAATTTTTTCTTCTCTATTAATTGAGTTAAGGTAGCTTGTCTTTGGATATGAGTTTCCGTTGTTACTGATGAACATCCAGCTTCTTTCGTTTCGGAACTTTCTCTTTTCATCTTTTAAGTTTATTTTTAAAAATTTTCATAATGACATTTTTCCAAATGATTTATTGTTTTTGGTGGCGAAAGTTTTAGCATCTTTTCAATCTCTCGAAATAACTTGCACTTGCAAAGACTGGCATAAATTGCACNATTAATTCTTAAACCATTTTTGAAGAATTAATAAAACTCAGACAGTTTCCTTGTTAGTATTCCTGCAAGGTACCATATATCTTATAGTAAAATGGTAAAACATACTTTGTATACAGTACATTGTCTTGAATAAAATTTTGCACTAAAAATTTGGTATCCTATAACAAGTATAATAAGCAAAATGATTACATCTAAATTGAAATATGTATGGAAGTGGAGGATCAGATGGAGGTCTGGATAGCATAGCTGGTGGGTTCAAGTTTCACTCTGAGCCAATTCTTTTCTTCTAAAATATTCTACATTTAATAAGAGATGGTGCCTATTGCCTATCTCTGGTGCCAAATTACATAGTATTTAATTATTAGTAGTAGCAGTAGAGTAGCCAGAAAAGTCAGCAGTCATTTGGCTTATTACAACAAACATTGTGCTTTAGATGTTGATATACACTTATTGTATACATATATAAAGTCATTGTCTCAAAATTTAAAATTACTGTAGATCTAATAACATATATTGAAAGAAATAATGATTCATTTATTTTTAGTGATGTCTTTAATTTTTATTTTATTTTAGTGGTTAAACAAAGAATGCAGATGTTCAATAGTCCTTATAAATCTGTCTGTGATTGTGTATATAATGTTTGGAGAACTGAAGGTATACGTGCCTTTTATCGAAGTTATTCCACTCAGTTAATGATGAATATTCCTTTTCAAAGTATACATTTTGTAACCTATGAATTTATTCAAGATTTGACTAATTATGAAAGAAAATACAACCCAAGAGCTCATGTGATATCTGGAGCTATTGCAGGTGCTTTTTCTGCAGCAATTACAACACCTTTGGACGTATGTAAAACGCTATTGAACACGCAAGAAAAACAAACATTATTTTTGACAAAACAGTCTCATATTAATGGATTTTTAAATGCAGTTGTGACAATTTATAAATTTCGAGGTTTTAAAGGCTATTTCCAGGGATTACCGGCTCGAGTTGTTTATCAAATGCCAGCTACCGCAATTTCTTGGTCTGTTTATGAATTCTTCAAATACTTTTTAAATAAAAATCATATAAAAGAACATTCGTTATCATCTGAATATGATCACATAACTAAAACAGCAACAGCTGACGAACTCCATACTAAACTAATATAAGGTAATTTTATAATTTTATCTTAGTTTTAAATTTATTTTTTATTCATCACTTCTTTTATGTATTGCTATAAACAATGTATAATATCTATTTGGAATTAATAGAATTAAATTATTATATTCAGATCTAGTTAAGTAGCTAATAATTTCAAAAGTTTTGGATGAATCCAACTAAAATTAACATATTTTACTATAAGATTAAATAACAATAATTTAAAAAAATAGGTTAATTGATGATTATCTCATTATAAATAGAAATTAATAACAATGTATTATTTGATTAAGATAACTATTCTCTAATTCAATTTGAGATTGTCTTAATCAGAAACAGTTCAATTACAAGATTGATGCCATTTTTCAGAAGACAGCTGATCAGGTGAGAATTTTTGAATAACAAATCAGAGATGTAACAATGTGAACTAAACATTTTCTCCAATTTTATATAACAAGAGAGTTCAACTCTTCCAAAATTCAATTAGAATTTTTACTGTGTATACTACCATAAAAGCAGTTTTATTTAAATAATAATAAGTGACAAAATGAAAATTTGTTTAATTGAATTGTATTATAAAAAACAATTGTTTAATTGAATAATTTCAGTGATTTTATTTTATATATTTTTTAAATCTAGGATGTAGTTATTTTTTTATTGAAATATAATGCAGGCCTTATATCAGGTTTAATTTTATGTATATGAATCAATTTGAATGGAACTAAATTTTAATGTTGCTTAGCCATCTGATATCAGATAAGTATATTGTCTTCTGTATGTAGCAAACTTAAATCATACTATTATTAGAACACTTATGTGCAGTGGAGTTTCGGATATGGAAATTTATTCGACTTGTGGAATAGAATTCGATAGTTTAAGCTTTCCGAACGATATTCCGACGGTTTTTTAAATTTCAGTATTGTTCGAAATATTCGATATTGAAATTTAAAAAACTGTCAGAATATTGTTCGGAAAGCTTAAACTATCGAATTCTATGTACCGCCTGATGATGGTAGTTTTACACTATTGAAAGTGCTAGCGGATAAAACCTTTCTCCACAAGTCGGATAAATTTCCGTATCTGGAACTCCACTCCTGTAACGCCACTGCCTGTAAGTGTTCTAATAATAGTATACGTCGGTGTGAAGTGCAAACTTATTATATTAAATCATACTTAAAAATATATCTGTCAATAAGAAACCATGTTACATCCAATTCGTTTTCAAAAAGTTTTTCAATAATTACACTTCAAATGATTTTTTAAATCTGTCAATTTGTTACTGTTATGTCTATATATATAGAATTGTCAAAAATAAAATAATGTCTGTGAACTTGGACTGCACATGGATTGTTTGAATCTATGTTATCTAATTGTTATATAGTAAAAATGAAAAATTCAAAAGGCAAACTGTTGAGGTGAACTGAATACAGTGACATTCTGTTAACCCAGCATCATTGGGACCAATATGGTGCCAGTTATTGAATATGCTGCCTTATGAAATGAAATAAATAATAAAAAAAAAAAATCTGTATTTTAATCCTCTAGACACAATTTTACATATCTTCGCATGTAAAACTGTACAAATCAGCCTTTTATGATTGCTTAACATGCTATTTCAATTTTTCCAAGTTATTCTTACTCTTGGTTTGAAACAAGAACATACTTTTATTGCATATAAATATGGACATATCATAGTATAATATATGAAAAGTAGAGTAGTTAATGTACTGTAGCTGTTTCCATTATTCCAACTGCACTAATGTCTTTGGAAAAGTCTAGAAAAATCATGCATGAGCTAACTAGTTTTACCTAACACTTACACAATGCAGTGACAATTTTCAAACACTAGGCAAATTTTTCTTCTTTTTATTCAGTTGGTCTAGTTTAGTGTTTAAAATTTGCCTAGTGTTTGAAAATTGTCACTGCATTGTGTCTGTGTCTGTGTAAGCAACAAAAGCAGCATCATGTCTTCTTGGTATTTTTATCTCTAGAAGGAGAACCCACACCTCTTTCCAAGAACTACACATTCTGAGTTCTTTTGCATGAAAATCTTATCTCTGAACCTACCCAATCACTGATAACCCAGCATTTTGAGCTTGTTGTTTGGGGTTAACAGAATTTCACTGTACGTTTAAAGTCTTTAGTAATGCATTTCATCTTAGCTGTCATTCTATCAGAAAGCAACAGCCTATTTTCATAATTAAATTAGAAAAGTGTTCTGCTTAATAATAATATTGGGTTGAATAGAATAGCTTTTGCATTTTTTTGGAAAAACCATTATATTCAGACTATACACAAAAAATGCTTAATTTGGGAAGCCAAATATTTTATCTAAAGAAACATTTTAGTTCTCACTGCAGGCATTTTATTAGTAATCTCTATTTCATTATTGAATATTGTTCATTCCAACATAATATGAGCTGATGATGATCTGCAGTGAAAATGAAAATATTTGGCTCCCAGAAATATGTAAGTCCGAGTTATGGCAAACAGTGGAAATTATATTCTCCCATCTGCATAACATTTTTTTTTTTTTTTTTTAACATTTTTTCAATCAAAATAAATTCAACACATAAATAACATTTTTAGATTTTTGTTTAGATGACAAGACTAGTGAACTGGCTGGATAATATAAATTTGTTTCTCAATTTGTGTGCTTTATCCTAATAAAAGACTTTTCTCTTCAGATAGATCAAGTAAACAAATGTCATCAAACTATTGACAGTAGATATCAGAATTTATGGTTAAATTAGATTCTAAACATTCCATTCATATCCCATAAACAGTTTTAAAAACTAATCAACACATGGTTGAGATATACTGTAAACTTGTTTGTTTACAGTATATTTCAATTTTTATGGGTGTCCTGCCAAGCCACAAGAATGTCATCAACATATCTAAGATATAAAAGCGGATATTTTATCGTAATAGGAAATTTAAACATCTTGAACTCTATGTTTCTCATGATCAACTCCGCCAAAACTGCTGAAATTGGTGAACCCATCGGGACTCCCTGTTGCTGTAGATATATTTGGCCCCTGAATTGAAAATAATTATTTTCGGAAATGAAAAGTAGAGCCTCACGTAATTCTAATACCTCCTGCGCTGTAAAGCCTTTCTTGATTAGCATCGCATTAGCTAGCATAACCGCCTCGAACTGCGGCACTGAGGGATAAAGGGCAACTACATCCAATTTGTAGTATGTATACTCACTTTGTGGAATGTGGTCCAGTACAGAGGATATGTGGGTCTTTGCTGCAACTGAGGAAGATGTAACCAAATGGGAGGGAGGCAGGAGCCCACTTAATAACTTGGCTAGGGCTATTTCGAGATGGAAGGCAGGGTGTGTTCTTTTATTAACTAATGGTCTTAGTGGCCAGCCCTCCTTATGTGTTTTAACCTCAAAAAAGAGTCTGGGACAAGCGACATTAGTTGGGGGATCAACTCGTCCGGGAAGAGCCGAAATGGTTGGAAGGGATATTATTTTTCTAACCTTTCTTAAGACAGTAGCAGTTGGATCAGCTTGTAAGGGTACTGCACAGGAATGGTTGAGAAAGTCGGTAGCCCTGTTTAGAAAATCTTTCTCTTTACATAACACAAACTTCTTCTCTTTATCCGAGATTAGAAGCCGTAGATTGTTTGCTTCTAAGTNTAAAACATCGCAATTAAATCCACAATATAGAGGCGTCTAGCGCATGCGCAGTATAAGCGCGTGCTTTTTATTTAAATATCTTTTTGTATTCTACCGTTGCTGGTATTCCAAAATGTTAGTTAAGATTGGAATGTTTTTTAAAAATTTTGTATTCAAAAAAAAGGTTCTTATACAGTATCTTCTAATGACCTGAAGAAGACGAAAGTGTGTATCGTCGAAAGCGCTCGTCAATTTAGTGACATACGTGTTTAATTTAACACTTATATCGCAAAAGTTTTTTGTAATAAATGATTAGCGTGCTGTCCATCACTATATTATAGATATTTTCCAAGATGAATTCTGGACAACGAATATCCTTTTTTGATATGCTAAATTATAAAAAGCAATGGTACAAGGTACACACACAGCTAGTGTTCCTGCTCAAGTGCAGGAGGTATGACGTAGCTCCAAAGTGTATTTCTATCAACTGGAAAGCCTTCCCAGCATGTCTTCGTGGTGCCTTACGGAATATGGAAAAGTCGCTACTTTCGAAACTCATAAAACTTAAACGTAAGTCTCTGGCGGAAGTAGAGCTCCAATTATATCTCGCCCATCTGAAGTTTACACAGACCTGTGATCCAGCCTCTCTATATCTCCAATTGAGAAAATTGCAAAGTATTGCAACTTCCTTTGCCGAGAAGGAGATCAACAAATCCAACAGGAAGTTAAAGTGGCTCCTAGGCTCATCAGGAAGGCAACGCAAATATCCGAACTCAACCCCATTCTACAATTATACAGGTGAGCAAGTGCCAATCCAGATCCTCAAAACTATACAAAGAGGACCCAAGTTTATTCCTCCCTAGAAGGAGAACCCACACCTCTTTCCAAGAACTACACATTCTGAGTTCTTTTGCATGAAAATCTTATCTCTGAACCTACCCAATCACTGNCAGGTGAGGCAGTTCCAATCCAGATCCTCAAAACTATACAAAGAGGACCCAAGTTTATTCCTCCACCAAGTGGTCCAAGCACATCGGACATGATCCCGGCGGCTCTAGCGGCGTTGAAGAATTGTCAAGCCTCAACCAAGTTCCCAAATATGGAACTCTCTGTTGTTTCAGCACTTACATCACAACCGCAATTCACGTGCACTAGAGGAAATTATGTCAACAGCCATAATGTAAGGTGCTACTTAGAAGCAAACAATTTGCGGCTTCTAATCTTGAATAAAGAGAAGAAGTTTGTATTATGTAAAGAGAAAGAGAAAGATTTTCTAAACAGGGCTACCGACTTTCTCAACCATTCCTGTGCAGTACTCCTACAAGCTGATCCAACTTCTACTGTCCTGAGAAAGGTTAGAAAAATAATATCCCTTCCAACCATTACTGTCCTGAGAAAGGTTAGAAAAATAATATCCCTTCCAACCATTTCAGCTCTTCCCGGACGAGTTGATCCCCCAACCAATGTAGCTTGTCCCAGACTCTTTTTTGAGGTTAAAACACATAAGGAGGGCTGGCCACTAAGACCATTAGTTAATAAAAGAACACACCCTGCCTTCCATCTCGAAATAGCCCTAGCCAAGTTATTAAGTGGGCTCCTGCCTCCCTCCCATTTGGTTACATCTTCCTCAGTTGCAGCAAAGACCCACATATCCTCTGTACTGGACCACATTCCACAAAGTGAGTATACATACTACAAATTGGATGTAGTTGCCCTTTATCCCTCAGTGCCGCAGTTCGAGGCGGTTATGCTAGCTAATGCGATGCTAATCAAGAAAGGCTTTACAGCGCAGGAGGTATTAGAATTACGTGAGGTTCTACTTTTCATTTCTGAAAATAATTATTTTCAATTCAGGGGCCAAATATATCTACAGCAACAGGGAGTCCCGATGGGTTCACCACTTTCAGCAGTTTTGGCGGAGTTGATCATGAGAAACATAGAGTTCAAGATGTTTAAATTTCCTATTACGATAAAATATCCGCTTTTATATCTTAGATATTTCAATTTAGGATAAATAGTCTATTATTGTAATCATTTTCACAAGCTTCTAACTCTGAACTCTGCTGTCCATCTGAGTTCATTCATTTTCAGCACAGATGATATTTCCTTCAGAAATATGGTTTCTTTTATAGTTTATCTTTTTCAAAGTAACTTATGGAATACACAACAAACCTTTTGGGTTTAGATGCTTTAGATTTTCCTCTTATTCAACCTAAGTTAATCATTTTATGCTGAAATTCTTTCTTGAATAAACTAGTAAAATAATGTTAACAGATAATGAATTAATTAACTTTAATAAATTAATAATTAAAAAATTTGCTTTATACAAATTTCCTTCAAACTAAGAAATGATTTTGGTGTATGTTATGTTACTATAATATATGTTGATTAAATTTCATATATTATACATTGACATTCTCATCTCATGTAAGTTTTATCATCATTACCTGTATTAATTAATTAATTCTTTTATTTTCAGATTTCTGGAGGAAAAAGATGCGTTTGTAATTGTTCATGGAGAAAGCTGTCTCTGAAAAATGCCATTATTGTTGATTAATTTTATGAAGACTTAATTTTTATCAGATTTATAAATTATTTTAAATATTCTCATCTAAATGTATTATTTTTAGGGATTAAACATATTTTGTATCCCATATATTTAAATATTTCATAGATACATAAATAAATAATGAAAAAAAGTTAGTATCTTATATTAAAAATTAAATTTAAACATGCAAGAAAAAAATTTTGGTAGTGACAAAATTTTTTTCTTGCAATCAATAAAAATCAACAAAATCAATAAAAATTATTTATTTTTATTGATGCACTAAAAATTTTTTAAACAGAAATTATTATTTTCTCAATTAATTTTAAATACTGTTTAGATAAATAATTTGTTAAAACTTGAATTTTTGCCAAATATTTGTTTATTAATTTTAAAATGGCAACTTAAACTCTCTCATTACACATTTATCTTTATTTTTTGTATGTTTTAAATAAGACTGCAAATAAATGTATTATCAATTTGTTGAAATCTGTAAGAAAAGGTTAAAATTACAAATGCGTTTAATTGAAAACAATCACAATCTACATTCCATCTTTATTAAAATATAAAAGTAACACCAATGTCTCATTCATATCTGTTTTTCTTTATTTTTTCCTGAAATTATTTCACGGGAAATTAAAATGTGTCTTAAAGAATGGACATTTGATAGCAAAACATATTTCCAATTATAGAAGATTGTGATGTTATTGAAAATCATATATTGTATACACTACAAGAATTTGTGTCTATAGAATAGTTTGTCATTGCTAAAATTTCCAGCAATCTGTGAAGACAAAGGCATATTCTTCTAAAATTATAGTTTACTATTCATTGACAGGACTTGGGATTCATAAGAGTAAATGGTGATGTTTAGAAAGACTGCTATTTTTTCAGCCTGTTTAGCTAAATACTGTATATTTTACATATGAATGTGAACAAAATTTAATAGAGATTCAAATAATGTTATTGCTAGTGCATTGTGACAATTTTCATATTGTTAATTACAAGAACAAGTATTTAATATTTCAAAAATAAATTTCTTTTATTCTGAATTGATTACAAAAGAAATCATCACTGTTTAATAATGAAAAATATTTAATAGTTTTGCTTGTTTTTTTCAAATTATTTTACTATAATATCTAGCAATAACAGCTTAAATTTGTAATATATTTACATAAACTTTTACATGAAATTTGTAGAAACAAAATAATATTGGTTAATATTTACAACTAAAAACATTCTTAAATAAAATCCAAAAATTTGATTTATAAATATAAAATTTCGAATAAGATCTTTTTGTGAGATTTTAATTTGTAATTGATCTTACTTAAACCAAAATAAATTTTTCATGTCTAAATAATGGTAAACAACTTTGTTAATTTTTGTGATTTTTTAATAAATTTGTTATTTGTTGTTTAAAAAAATGCTGAGTGCCTTTATGGTAACAGATAAATTTTGATGCAAAAAAAATAATAATAATGTTGTTGCATATATAATTGTTAATTTCTGATAATTTTAAATAAATTTTATTTAAATGATTTTAATTTATTTTTGTCTTACTATACAATTGTTGCAGTTATAGCAACTACATTTTAATCTTCATCTTAATCAGAAAATATTTTACTACATGAACTTATACCAAGACAATATATTACCTTTTTATATAACATTTTACCTTTCCTCTTACCTAAAATTTATTGGGAATATATACATGAGCTATCTCCCAAGATATGCTGTAAATTGAAAAGTTAGAATAAATTTTAATTTAAAATGTTATCTAGATATTTTCATATTTTTTACTCAAAATAGTTCAACAAACATCCAAAATTAAGAATACTTCCTGCTCTATAAAGATCAAGTCAAAATAAACAAATAAAATAGTTTAAAGAGAAATGAATCATTAGAAATACTCAAAAATTGTCAGCATTAAATAGTACAGTAAGACCCCACTTAACGCTGATCCAATATAACGCGTTCTGCTTGAAGTCTAAAAAAAGCTCAAAATTTATGCTGATTTAAATTATTGTGGAATTTCATTGATTCGCATATAATACCATTATTTGCAAATACAAATCAATCAGCAAAAGGTGGCAAAAAGGTATACTTTTTTTAAATCTATGTTTATTTGGTACGATTTTGGAAAAAATATAACATCATGGATGCCATAAGAAATATTGACTTAGCTTGGCAAGAATTAACTGATAAATACATGAACAAAGTGTGGAAGAAGTTATGGCTGAAGGTATTCAAGAATTCTCAATGAGAACAGCCTATCGCTGTATTGTTAGGTTGACCAAACTCAACCTAATCGATATAGCAGGACTAGGAGATATAAACGAGCAGGATATTGAGGAGATACAGCACGTTTCTGGTGAAATCCTTACCAACGACAACCTTCAAGAACTGGCAGAACATGGAATTCATGTGGAACTGGAAAACAGATTTCCTTAGTAAAAGTTTTGTAAGATAACTGAAATCATTGATCAAATTGTAGCGAATGATCCAGATTTTGAAAGGAGTGCAAAAGGAAAATGAAGAATTTTGGATGCGATCTTCTGCTACCGACATTTGCTTAAGGAAAGAAAAAAGCGACAAATGAAATTTCACCACTTTATTGCAAAAGAACAAGAATTTCAGAAAAGTCAGGACCTTTGTCACAAAAAAAATAAACTTTACATTTCTGTGTGCATATGTTTGTATGTTATTTAATGTATTTTTTATATTAATTTGCATAATAATATAACTTAAAGTAAAATCTGTTTATTTTTGGTCACATGTTTCCCTTTCCCTATTTACTGTGTTAAAATTACCTCGTTTAACACTGTTTCGCTTAGCACTTACTTGTCTAGGAATGCATCCCCGTGTTAAGCGGAGTATTACTGTATTTTCTTTTTCAGAATTCTGTCCTCTATCTATCTGTTTAATTTTCAGCATACTTTAGAGAAACATCTTTTGGATGTTAAATTCTTCCTACATGTTTATTAGTATATAAAACATCTACAGTGAATGATGATTACTTATTACAAAGGCACTAAATACCCTTCTTTCATTATCTGAATATAAAAAAATGTCCAAAATACCTAATCTATTCAAGTATAGGCATTGTTGGAGAGCATCTTCAGTTTTTAAAAATTATTACATTAGATTCATTGATTCTGTTTTGAAATAAAATATAGAAAAATAAAATCAATTATTCTATTTATATTAAAATTTATTCATTTACAGTTTTTGGTCTTGCTTGGTCTGAAATGACTTATCTAATGTCTCTTGTGTTAGATCATTCAAATTTTCTGCTTGGCGTTCTTGTTGTTTTCTTAATTTTTCAGCTGTTTCCAAGCTTTCTTCCTTTTTTAACATTTCTAAAATATCATTCATTTGAGTTGAAGTAACTTTAACATTTTCTTTACCTATGAGTTCAATTACCTAAAACAGAGAGGAAATTATTTATTATAGTATACAGTTAAAGTACTGGTACAAATAATTGTATGAAATTTAATGTTGTAAGAATCAATTTAAATTGGGAAAATTAATCTATTTGTAAAATAATATTTAACAGTAATTTAAGAAATTTTACACACATTATTTTTAGTTTCATTGGATTAGAAATCTCATACATTTTTTAATGCTCTCTAAAGAAAATAATTTTTAGAAAAGTTTTTAATAACTATCTAATTATTTTTAAAAAGGAATTTTTACTGTTGAACAACTGCTGATTTCTACTATGAAAGTGGTGATGATTCTTTTGGTTTATTATAAATAAAATTCATCTCATTAAGGAGTCAAAAACTTGCAATATTTTGCAATGTTGATTGCTATTTAATATTAAAAAAATTATTTGTATGACAAATCTCCTTATACACATAGAAAGAAGTATATTTTTATTTTTTATGTATAGAATGTTATCAATTATTATGTCCATTGTAAATTTAAAATAATTTTTATTAAAATTACATTATACTGAATCAGACAAAAATAATTTTCTTTGTCTATGATAAAAACTCAAAGAAAATTGATTTAAATTTTATGTCATAAACATAGAAAGAACTAGTGATAAAGCAGACAGTAAAAATGAATACTATATGAATTAGTACTGGTTATAATTAAAACCACCACCATATTTAATAAGTAATGTAATAAAATAATAAGACTATTGTCTTACTTTTAATACATTTTCAATTTCAACAGCTCCATCATGATCTTCATCCATTTTCTCTAAAACATCTGCTATTCTCTGAAGACGAGTGTCATCAGATATTTTCTGTATTCTTCGAATTGCCAAAACCAGTTCATTAATACTAATAATATTGTCCCTTAAATCAAAAAATTCTTTATGTAGATACATATTTTAGTTGTGTTATGATAAATATTAAAATAAATTATACCTTACTCATTTTACATGTTTTAATAAATATTGGTATATATTCTTATATATAATACAAAAAATGATGAAATATGTAAAGATGTTAGATTAGTTAGTTTGTGAACCAGTTAGATCAGTTGAGATTACTATAAAGTTTTCAAAGTAACTGGTAATATCTCTTGTTTTTCTCAAAATTATAGAAAATTTTATCTGTTATTATCCTTACCAATAAGAGATCCTGCACAATACTACTGGGCAAATATTGCTTTGAAAAAATTTCATTTGGATAAATATTGTAAATTCTCATTCTTTATACAGTATAACTGTTGAGTTGGGTTTCCAAAGAACCATTCCCATGCACAAGTTTATGAACACCAACTTTCTTGGAAACCCAGCTCTATAGTAGTTAAGTTATTTCACTGAAAAACTGTTTTTGGTGAAATTGCTTTTATAATGTTCCACAAGAATATGTTTCTTAAGACCAAAATTATTTAACTTATGAAAGATTTTGTTAATGTACAGTATATCATCCAAAAAAAAGATATAATAATAAATGCAGACCTAATTATCACAAAGTGTAGATTTTACTATAGGATAAGTTACATAATGCTTTGATAACATTTGGAATGTATGACTATTGAAAGTCCAGTACAGATGAGATCAATTACATACTATTCAACAATAAAATTTTCCAAGCAAATATAGAAAGTTTACAAATACAATTAGAAAAACAAGTAATGAATTACATAGAAAATATCTCAATGTAAATACTTAGGCATAATAATGAAAAAATTCTAAAATAGAAAATTGAAAAAATAGGTCAGAATCATACCTTTCTTCTTCAATACTGATGCCTTCTTTAACTTTACTGTCTATTTGTTCCTGTAGAGTTTTCCTTGATTTGCTAAGTTCATCCAATACATTATCCATTTTTGTTATCATTTTGTTTACTTGACTATAAAGTCTAGTTGAAGCTTTTGATTCCTTTAAATCTTTTAATCCAGTCTTTAAAATAACTTCTTTAAATTCATCAATGTCCTGTTAATTTGAAATTTAATATTTTATAATTATTTAGACAACTTCATAAATAGTAGAACATTTTATATACTTTCCAATTAAACTATATTTATTTATTTCTATTTTATCTTACAAAGATTAATTTTATAGAATTTTTTTAAGTTTCAAGGGAAAATCCAAATGTACATCAGAATTCTACCTGTTTTAATATAGTTAAATTATTTATGTATGGAAGAATGTATTACAGAAGAAATAGAAGTGTAAAAAGTATAAAAACGATTAAAAGAAAACAGATATTTTGAATTAGTACTTTTTTAGAAGTTATTATTTAGAGATGTAAAATTTGCAAATTGAGATTAGTATTTCTAAATGTGTGAGAAATGTTTTATGAAATAATAAATAAAGATTAAGATATGATGATAATTTTTTAAAATTTTGTATGCTTCTTTAATACATATACAGTATAAATATGGTAATATCTGTAATGCTCCTTCATTGTAATAAACTATTGCACAGATCTTTACAAAACAAAAATTTCCAAGCAAACAGAAAGTTTACAAATACAATTAGAAAAACAAGTAATGAGTTACATAGAAAACATCTCACTGTAAATATTGTACTTACGATTTAGGATCCCTTAATTTTTTTATACTTAATTAAAAGTTTTTTCAAAAACTGCTAACATTCACTCTGCCAGAGGCAGTATTCTCAACTTCAATTGCTCTGTGTCTTTTCACATTAAAAATAAATTGTAAAATTTGTAGGAATATTTTAATGCCAGTATTGGTGGTGTTTTATGAATTTACAGCCAAACTAAAAACTTTAACATGTCAGAGTTAAATAGAAAACATCCATAAAGTTCTCAGCAACCACTTTCGGTATTGAATGGTTCTTTTTAAAAGCATGCTTGTTCTACAATGTAAAATGAATAATTTTTTTAAACCCAACAATAAAAATTATTGTGTATTTTAAAATTAAATTTTTAACAATAATGCCTGGAAAGCAATAATAACTATTGATGCTGAACAAAAAATAGATAAAATAGAGTGAGTAGATAAAAACTACTAAACATATGTATAAGTCCACGAATCCTGACAGGCTAGCCACGTGAACTTTTTGGGGGTATTCTTTGCATGTCTAATAACTAAATAGGGGTTGATTTCCCAAAAAAGCCCTCTCAGAAGCACCCATCTTGGCAAATTGCCTGAATTTTATGTTGCCTTATTCCATCAATCTAATATGGAAAAGATAAAAGTGAAATCACATAGAAATTGATGGACTGCATAAACTATTTATATTTGTGATTAGTCTAGTCACAAATACCCTATCCAAATAATTTTATCTCAATTTCTGGTAGCAATAATTAATTTCCCAAATAACTTATTTTTGCATTCAATATTTTCTTTTATATGTATGCAAATAACTTACACAAGCACAACTAGTTAAATTATTTCTTAAATAGTTACATGGATGACAGTTATTATCTATTTTGAACTTTTGATGATAAACTCATATAGTTGTGAATTTAAGTATCTTTTGATACTGTCTTTATTCACAAATTTAATCCATATTTAATGTATGTTTTTAATTGCAATAATGAAAGAATATTTACAGAGATTGAACTTTAAAATAAAAACTATTGTAATACACTTGGCATGTAGATCCTTGTAATTTCTCAAAATTTATAGTAGTTTTTATTGATTTAATGTTATTTTAATCGAATACATGAGAATCTAGGGTTGATACTTTTATTGGAATGTTCTCTAATTCTTATAAAATCAAATATTATTTTAAAATTATTTAAATTAAAGAAAATACCTTAATTTCTGTTAAAATAATTGTCAAAAAAATCAACAGAAGTTAAAGAAGAAACTTCCTCCAACTTAAACCAAGAAAGTTTCAACTGCAACAAGGAAATTCCTTGTTGTTTCTTTCTCATCATGTGATTCAGATCATCCCTGTCTGTTGGACAGACAAACTTTAAATAGGGCTGAACACAAACTGCCAAGAGCTGGAAAACTGAAATCAATGGACAAAGAGTTTGCATCTGAAATCAAAAAAGTTTCCCTCCAACAATGCAGGAAACCACAGGCAGCTCCCACCACAAACTTGCAAAGAATATATGTCAGGAATGGTCCAACTAAGGTATTATGTTTGGTTAAGTTACTGTAAACTATTTCTCATTTGTTTTATGTTATGGCAATAAGATAGCTAAGGGATAGGTTCCAATAGATAAACTAGATACTTGTCAGATTCTAAGAATAGAATTTAAGAACTATATGTAAATTATGTTTAGATTTCTTTTTGTTCATTGTCTTTGTTAATAAATCCATTTATTATAATCTAAAAGAGAAATTCTAGTTTTTATAAGGTCTAACGACATCATCAAATGCACATACATACCTCCAGAACTTTACGATAAAGTAAAATCACATCCTAGCCCACATTATATTTGATTAGGTGCTGTCAAGAGATCTTGATAAAATTCCAACAAAATCCCAATTTTCCAACATTATAATAGCCATGCAAAAATGCAAGATGGGGTTGACCAGAGCCCCAGAAATTCACAAATATCATAAAACTTTTCTAATGAAATATTATTATTATTTTGACAATTACAGTTTTGCTTATTGTTTGCTGTAAATTTTTATAACACACAAAATGTGCTTTTGTTTGTTATTTGAAGTTTGAAATGTCAATAAATGTAGCTCAAACTCTGTAAGCCTGGAATATATAAAAAATAGCAACGAAGCTTTTTTCCGCATTCCAATTTACAGAATCCTGAGGAAGATTTCCTGTGTAGATCAAAAACATCAGAATTTACAATAGAATATCCTGGAATTTCTTTTAAGGTTCAGTTCGTTGCTATTTGTTAATAAATGTAATATTTTTTATTCTAACAAATAATTTTTTATACAGATATAGGGATATATTTTAACATTTTACAATTTATTTTTCTTTTGTATGACATTTCTAACATTTGAAATAATGTAGAATGTTAAATAACTGTTAGATTTATCAACATAGAAATAAAATAAAATTAGAATGTAATGCATAAGTGAACAAGCAATTACTGTGACATCATCACAATGCCAGGCTGCAATTTTAATCATATTTTTAATTTATTTAATTTGAAATATATGCTCTCCACCTCAAATTAGTAGTGGCTTACCTCTCCACATCATACTTTTCCTTTAATAATAGGATTATGCCGGTCATCTGTCTAACATCTTTCAAGGAAAAATTTTTGGATTGAAATAACATGACTTCCAGTACAAATCAGAAGTACATATATAGTTAATCGGGGCCTCCTTCCCCTAAGGATTCCATATCTGGTCTCGTCTTTCATCTACCCAACTTCGTTCTCGAGATTATGGAAAGACAGACAGATGAACAACAGTGGGAATTTATAGGTCTACAATTTTTTTAAATTGCAGCTCAAATATTGAGATCATTTGTGAAAATGAATCAAATTCCGGAGTTTTTTCTCACTGATCATGAAAGTGAATGAATAATTTATTTTTTATTAACCTTTTAAACTCTATAATATCTATAATACAATTAAATGTAATAAATGATGATCAGATATATGATCATAATCATAATCATGATTTGAATAGTACAGTAAAACCTCAATTTAAGGGACTTTAGATTTAATGGACAAATTTTCCAGTCCATATGTCATATGTGATCATTAATGCCCTATAAATTTTGAAATGCTTTTTATTTGTAATTAAATTAGCAGGATTCTTTTTTCAAATCCACGAGTCTTAACTTCATGCCACAATGGGAGTGTCTTGACGTGTCATCATCTGAAGATGGATAAATAGGAAATTTTTTGTTTTTGTCATATTTAATTTTGTTTTCTTTTAAGAACATTATTTATTTGTTTAGTTAAATACAATCAAAATGTATTTTCCAAAATATGTGTTTGTTTATTTCAATTTACATTGTCTACTTGTTTATTAGTCTCAGAACATAAGCAATAATACATATAGAAAACTATTTTAATTGTAAAATTAAACTTCTCATACATGCTTAATTTTAATTACATAAACATATCTATATATGTAAAAACAGATAAACTAATTAATTTTTCAGTTTTTTAACATATGCATTTGGAAAACCTACTTTATTATATAACAGACTTTTGGCTTTAACAAATATCCCTTCGCCCAAATTAGTCTGTTAAATCAAGGTTTTTCTGTAATACAATTTACTGAAATGAACACTTCATGACATAGGTCTATATATCATCAAATTCTATATTAAGAATAAAGATAAAGTTAAAAATAAATAAACAATTTTTTCTAATATTAAAACTTACTTCTTTATAATCAGCCATTTCTTCTTTTAAATCTTCTAATTCTTCTTTTTCAATTAAAAGTCGTCTTTTTTCTTCTGCTATTTTTTCTATAGCATCTTCTAAATTATCAAAGTCTTCTTTAGAAAGTTCTTCTTTTTCTTCAATAATTTTAAGTTCAGGTTTCTCAACTAAAATAATATTTTTAATTAAAGAAAATAAATATATCATGATTAATAAACCTAATTACAATCATTAAAAAATAAATAAAAATAACCAAAAAAGTAAGAAGATTTATGCACTTTCCATAGATGACTGACTGACAATCATCAGCAAAACAAAATGAGAAATGCTTGTTTCTCTGACACTTTCCATAAATTTAGTTGTTGCACGTTATTTTAAATTGTATAATTTAAAAATGTCTTCATTAAGTCCAACCCTTCTTGAGATATGTATATGTCTCCCCATTTCCCCCACCCTGATCTTTAACCACCAAAATTTAATAGCTTGTGTATACAGGGCAAAATTTAATGCCCTGTATACACAAGCTACTATGCCATATTTCATTTCATCATCATTACCCCATCCTGAGATATTAAATAAAATACACACACACACATGGAATTTTTTACTGCTTTTGTGTCCAGGAGTTCTCAAAACATGGGAGATTTGCAAAAAACTTTGAGAGTCAAATCTGACATGATTCCAATACTTTCCCTTGTTATGAATACAAAACAGCTGAGAAACTAAAAGTCTATTTGAATTTTTTTAAATTTGCCTTTCAAATAATATGTACTGTACATCAAATTTTTTGACAGGCAAATTTTAGAAAAAGCTATCTAAATAACTAGGACAAGAGGTATATATCTAATCAAGAAAAATCAATTAATATAATTAATTGGTAAATATAATTATACTTTCTACTGCTTTATCTTCAAGTATAGGTCCTGCATCTTGCAAAATATCTATTAAAGGTGGTTTCTGAGTTGATTTCATTGCATCAGTTAATTCTATAGTTCCTTGAATATTCTTCTCTTCTACTTTGGCAAGAGCTTCTTTCTGTTAAAAATATTTTTTCAAATAAAAATTATTAATTTTAATTTTAATTCATTTGAAAACCTCTATATGTCTGTTACTTTTTTAAATAACAGACATATGGAAGTTTTCAAATAAATTTACTGACATTTAAACTAACGAATTACAGGTATACCTCGCCTTACGTCGTTAATTGGTTCCAGGAAAACAACGTAAGTCGAATTTACTTATCTCCGAATCTACTTGTCACTAGGCTAAACCATAAATTACCATTCCCAGTTCTGTATTTTATTTATTAATGCATTTTTAATAATATACGGTTAATAAGGATCTATTTTAAGCTTACAAACAAATTTTAGTTTTTAATATAGTACAGAAAAAAGTAATCTAAATTTACGAATGCATGTACTGTAAATACAGTACATACTTGTAAATGTATATATTTTAATATGATTTTATGTGCTTTAAACGCTTTTCTAGTGATATTACGACTTCAATATTTGTGGTGGACAGACGTAAAGTCAAATAAAATGACTTAAACTTGGCTTTTATTTTTCCATATACTTTTTTGACAAACGACGTAACTCGAAACGACGTAAGTCGAGGTATACCTGTAATACATTTCGAAAAACATATGATGGTAAAATTCAAAATATTGTCCTAAATGAAAACCATCAGAAGAATAATTTTTCATCAATAATTTAAGATGTTTTCTGATATATTATTAACTAACTTTTTTTTAAATAAAAACATTTATATTTTATTTCTAAGTTAAAAGATTTTATTAAAAGTGCATCAAATTATGAGAACATTTTAAAAATACTTCAAAAAGTAAAAAGTGGATAAGACAAACCATAACACGAAGAATACAATGCATTTTAAATTTCAGTGAATGAAATTTGAAACATAATTCAATCAGTGGAAATGATAATTTCCATTTCTGATGTAGAATTATTTTGACAATCAATAAGTTTAGTTTTATCTTATGAACATGATAAATTTATATATCAAAATTAATTTTTATTTAATAAAGTATTTTTTAATTATACATGATAAGAGCTAAGACATCTAGATACTAAAAATCACATAAATAGTTATAAAAATCATAAAAGTTCAATATTTATAACTATTTATGTGATTTTTATTGTGCAGGCGTCCAGGCTTCAATAATAACTATGGTAATTAAAATTAAAATTAATTTTAAGTAATGTGTGTCCATAATATTACTACAAATCAACATTATTTTAATACAATATGAAGATTTTAAATATTAAGTGAAATTGTTCTAAAAACATTTAAAGCTATTATAAAAATCTTGCTATTTATATTTAATTAGGTTTTTAACTTGCTATTATCATTAATAAATACTTACTTCTAGTCTTTCTTTCTCTTCTTGTTTCAATTCTTCTTTTTCTCTCTTAATTGCTTCTTCTTCAATCTTAATTACCTCAATCTTAGTTTTATTGTCTACTTTACCTTCAGTTTCACCAATTTTCAGTTTTGCTTCAGTTGCCTGAATAACAAAAACATTATTATTCTCTAACAAATCAGACAAATGGGTTCTAATAACAAAAAAATTAATAATTTGCATCAATTCTTTATTAGTTAGAACATACAATAAATACATATTTTTTCCAATTAATTAATGAAAATATTGGCAATATTTCATTCTGTTCCTTATATTATCTTCAATAAAAAAATAAAATAAGTTTTGTACATTGTTCAAAACACTCCAAAGCAATTAATCATATAAAAGTATTATAAGGAGTCAACTCCAACCTGTTTTATTTTGTTTGGGGATCATTTTTAGTTCATTTTCTTCTTCTCTTGTTATTACCTGCTTTAAATGATACAGCTTCAAAATAATCAGGTATATTGTCATCTACTAAATTGTGTTCTTTAACCAATTCATACAAAATTATCTTTTTGTCCATGAATCCACTGAGCATCCATTTCGATGCAGCTTGCACCATAAGGCTTAGAGTAGGTTCTGCCTCTGATATGATCCCGAGCTTCAATCAAAGCAACATCTTTAAAACCATATTATTTTAAATGGCAAACAGCTGCCAAACTATCCATTCCTGTTCCAATGACGACTATTTTCTGATCAACTGGTCCTATTCTGATCACTCTTGCCACTTTGTCTATCAAAGGTTGGAGGTTTGACATTTTTGGAAGTGAGGACTGTCGTAATGTTAGTTATGCTCTGTGTTAATGCAGTAACATGGTGTGGCAACACAGATAGTTGTTGCAAGTGAACTCTTCTCGACTCAGGAGCACCAGCCATTATAAACTTTTAGTAGAGGTGTTTGCTAATTATGAACACTTAACGTAGACAACCAAAAAAATTTACAAAAACAAAATACCAGAAATATCAAAAAAAGGTATCAAATACAATTACCAAAAGTTCAAATATAAAAAAAATACAAATATGAATTATTAGTTATCAATGATCTAACATCCCTGTTCAGACACCAGTTATGTAATGTCTGATTTGTAGGAAGCCTGGAAATGACCTAACATGCATTACATAAACCAAAAATGAGGTTGGTCAGTGCCCGGCCTGGACTTTTACATGGGCAAGAAAAGAAATGAATAAATTTGTTAATGTATGAAAAGTCCAAAATAATTACTTTTACTGTATGTAAAAAAAGAAAAATTCTATTTATTATTCCATGACTATGTACTGTACATGGCTTGTTTTTTAAGTAAGTACCATTTTAAAATAGGATCGCTGCAGTGCTACGGTTGGTGTTCTGCGAATGTGCGCTGAGTACCTACATCTGTTGGCTAGCCACAGATGCAATTACGGAAGCATTCATTCATTTTACATTTGTTTGTGTTTAAAATGCCTCAGACAATTGAGAATCCCACTGATTATGAAGTATGCATGGTGATTTGTTTTTTAATGCAAAAGACATGAAAGCGGCTGACATTAATCAGCAGATTGGTGAGGTGTATGGAAAAACATTATGAGCAATGGAATGGTAAGAAAATGGGTCAGAGCATTTGAAGATAGCCGTACTAATGTCCATGACAAGGAGCGTAGTGGGTGACCGTCTGTCATTACTGAAGACTTGGTGCAGAAAGTTATTGCAAAAAGTTCGAGAAAACAGACGCTTTACGATTTCATCATCCAAAACAGCTCAGAGTAAGGGGATTGTTTTGCTTCATAACAATGCTTGTCCATATGTGGTTCAACAAACCCGAGATCTTATCACATGTGTGGTTCAACAAACCCGAGATCTTATGGCTGGGAACAACTTGATCACTCATGTATAGCCCTGATCTAGCAACTAGTGACTACCACTTTTTCCTCCACTTGAAAAGGCATCTAGGCAGTCAGCGCTATGATAATGTCAAAATGCCATGTGGCAGTGGTCGGCAAATCAGGCGGCAGGTTTCTATGAGGATGGAATTCAGAAGCTGGTTGTATGATGCGAAAAGTGCCTTCATATTGGATGAAATTATGTTGAAAAGTAGATTAAGGAACAGATTTTCATGTAAGAATAAAATTATTTTAAAAATTGCAGTTGTGTTTTTTTTTTTAATATCAAAACAGTACTTACTTAAAAAACACACCTCATACATTACAAAATAAGTCAGAAAATTCAAATATAAAAATATTTTATCTAATCAAAACAAAAACAAGTATATACAAAAACTTTCCCAACACTTGGAAAACTCAAAATTAACTTAGAATTATCTTAAACTATCTTCACAAGAACTGACAAGAAATATGGACTGTATACATGAATTACACAAAGTACTCTTACAATTAACTCACCTATCACCAAGAAGAAACTTCTAATCTGCCATCCAAATCAAACACCTTTTCCTTAACTTCACATAGTCCTTAGCTTTACCTCATCTTAATCACAGCTCATCTCTCTTATTATGATGACATTACATTGATATGCCCACTTGATCCTATTTACATACTTATAGTTAACATTTATTTAACTCTAGCAATCTTCTTTCCATGTCTTGTCATCACCCTCACACAATTTTTTTTTTAAATTTTCAGTGAAAATTTTGGGTGGGAGATCATTCTTTTAACTTCCCTTCAGAAGTCACTCAAGATGTCATTTCTAGGTTGAAGACACACTTGATTTGACCTCAGCAGTTGTCATAGTAAGGTGAATTTCGTTTTTAGTTTTTGAATTTTGTCCAGGTGAGATGCAGTATCAATTTGGGTTGGAATTGACTTTTTAGAGAATAATCAAGTAGCAAAAAACAAATTTAAAAATTCAAATAACTGAATAAATAAAACCCAAGTTTTTATATTAAATATTTTAATAAATAATTTTTAAAAATTTTATCATATTATTTCTACATAAACAATATAATTTTTAACAATAATTTTAAACAAAAAAAAAAAAAAAAAGAAAACTGCAACTGGAAACAAAATGCCAAGTAGAAATTTGCAAAATTTAGAAATTAAGTCAATGAATAAAATGTTGACTGAAAAAAATGAAAAATGAAAAAAAACGAATGAAAAAAAGACGCAATGTTTCATAACTATCTCTTGGGAAGTGTGATATGATGATAATATAAATTTTTCTATTTTTTGACAACTGAATTAAATAAATGTAAAATTTTAAATTATAAATGGGCCATTAATTTAATCAAAATATATAACAATCATCCAAACTAAATGTAAATAAAGTGATGGAATTAAGTATACAGTAGAGCATCAATTATCCAAATATCGATCAACTGTAACATCAATTAACTGAAAGCTTTCCAGTCGGCAAATTTAAATTTTCACTAGTGCTGTGGCGCTGCAATCTTTGGCTATGTCTTGGGCTACTCCAATGTTATTTTTGTTAGTGTGCGTGTTTTAGCTGGCAGCACTGGCATGACCATGAGAGGGTACTTAAGAATGTGCCAGGATTTGAAAGAATTTCAACATGGGATAGGTTAATATATCTTTTTGTACATAATTGGTTATCTGAAAAATCAATTTTCCGAACAACTCCAGACCCCAATTGATTCGAATAATTGATGCTCTACTATATATTTATTTTCAAAACACATTGTACATAACAGCAACAACACAAATTATTGTTGTTAACAGAGCTATAAATAGGCATACCTAACAATAGGGTAGGAGTAAAGTTCAAATTGTGGCCTCCAATTTCTGGTTCATCAAAAAGAACTCCTTGAACACAAACTAAGTTTGTTTATTTAACACTATTTACAGAGATACACAGAAATACATCTTAATTACTTCTAATTACAAGGTCTTAGTCCAGACCTCCTCCTCCTCACACAGTCTTAGGCTAGGCTCCCCTTTTCCTCGATCCAACATTGCCTTATATATAAGTTTTGAATTTGTTGGCCAACCAATCAGGAGCTGTGCTGAACTGAGCTTTCTATCAGGTCCGCTCCAGTTGGCATATCTGTCTTGACTTGTCCAGAATGACTCACCAACCATTCCTTTTCAGAAAACGTGCTCCAACAAGCGAAAACTTGACCATCTTGTCACTATGAGATAGGCCTCCGTGATAGTAGGCATTCTATTGATCAATAAGTTTAAAAATTCCTTCCACATAGAAAAAAGCAGCTGCATGATAAGCTGTTCTTCAACAGCTTCGAGAAACTTTGTATTGGAGGTAAACTGGTAACCTTTCAATGACTGCTTGAAAAGCCCAAAAACATTGAAATTGCAAGGGACAGGTTCAGGCTGTAAGGAGGATGGGCAAGAACTTCACAACTAAACTGTTGCACAGTGTAACAGCACATTTGCTATGTGTGACTTCATCTGGTCATAAAGTGTGATGATTCCCTTGGGAAATATTCCTGACTGCTTTTGCCTGATTGCTCTCTAAAGCTTATCAAGGATGTCACATGATGCATTGATAACCTTCACATCAACTTTGAAATTCTTCATATCATTTAAAGACTGTACTGTATGCCAGATATTCATTCTTGTAAACCATCTGCATGCATTTGAAGATGATTGTTGCTGTTTCCCTCTTTGATCCAAAATTGGATCACAGCTTGTTTTGCAAGTTTTAACCTATTCTTGAGACAAGTTGTTTACATTCCTTTATGATTATTTACATCCAATGCATCAAACCAACTAAATGAATTATATAATGCATTCCTCCTAATGTTAGTACTAAAGACCCACTATTATTACCAAATCTGTTTCATTTGGACAAAACTTATCATATACCAGAAGCAAATAATATTAAAGTGTTTTAAACTATTATATTTTTGGTGTTTCTAGTAAGTTGTAATATGTATTAAATTTAGTTATCAGCTGAAAATTTAGAGTAATCAAATGTCCAGAATCTTTTTAATACAAAGAAATTTTAATGGAAATGAATGATAGGTATGAATGATAGGAAATGAATGATAGGTAATCATCATACCAAAGTATGATGATTACCTATCTATAAAATTTGAAGAGACTGATTTGCTTTTTTGACTATCATATATATATATATATATGATAGTCAAAAAAGCAAATCAGTCTCTTCAAATTTTTCAAAAATTACAATG